CTCTGCATTTGTCGGAAATAGATTTCTTCAACTACGAAGTCTATCAATAGCTCGGGATTCCAATTCTTTAAAATAAAACGCACTTGTGCGATTGCTGAGTTTGAGAAAAATGTTCTCGTACGATTTGCGTCATTTTCCCTGATGCTGGGGCAATAATCTGCTGAAATGAGCTGCTCGCACGTCGTTGTTTTTGAGAGACGGGTATCAGATAGCGTTCTTCACACGTCTAATGGGGAATTCTTTTCTTGCGTCGATGACGTTCTCTTGGCATGTCTTCGGAGCAGATTGCTGAGCCAGGCTCACAGCTCGGGTACAGGAACAGAGTGCATCGATAGATCGATTGGGGGGGGGGGCATTTTATCGCTGCGTCAGACGGGCAAAAACTGGTCAGCGCTAGTGCCAGACGGTGCAGGAAAGTCGCGCTCTTTTTACACAGCACGGGGAGCTTCCGATATAATGTGAGAAATTTGATGGGCGGAATAGGATGTCTCGTGAATACCTGCCAGCATGCTCATCATAGTGTTTTGTATGTGATTATATGTTTTGTTTGTCTGTTTGGTGTTGTTGTTTTTTAGGGGGGGTGGGGGGGTTGTTTGTATTGTTTTGTTGTTTCTCTTGTGCCAAGGGGTAGATGGATGTCAGCAGAGAAGTCCACACGGGGAAGGGCTGTGACAGACAGGGCTGAGACAGGCCTGCTCCAAACTGACCTAACTTGTGTCAGTGGGGGCGTAAAGCATCATTTGATCATCATTGACTATCAAACCGATGTAGAGCCCACGGCGTGTAGGACTTAGCCAAGTGAGCGATGTTCCGACAGGACAACCCCCGGCGCTTCTTCATCTTTTCGCTACTGACTGTAGTTTGATGTTGGCAGCTGTCCCTCACGTTGAGACAGAAAATGCTGGAATGCTACATCTTCCCCATATTCCTATATGGCGCAGAGTCCTGGATTTTGACAAGGAAAGAAGAAAACAAAACAAATGTGTGTGAGATGTGGCGCTACCGTAGAATGGCCGGAATATGTTGGAAAACAAAAATGACAATGTTGTCTCTTTTCGTCAGATTGGACACCCCCCC